GGTCTGCAAAAGGCAACGCATTCCTTTAGCAGGAAAATTACTACCAACGGGGGGAGATATGCCTGAGATCATTAAGATGCCTGAACTGCTCAGGGAGGAAAGACAGACATGCCTTTTAAACCCTGAACTAAAGCATCCATGAAAGAGCCGGAACAATACTCTTACGAGTCGGGGAGGCAGAAGGGTGGTGAGGTCGATGTCTGCCCATGCCCTCTCCAGTTGAAGTAACTGGTAGAGTGAGCCACTCGGTGTAAAGTGGCAGGAACTCACCAAGTGAAAACCAGTCTCCCAGTCACTGGGTTACCACTTTTCTGCACCACCCACCCGTCAGTTCACAGACTCAGAATCAGGGTCTGGAAAGCAGGTACCAGAACAGTGAAGGAGCCTGTATCTATTGCTTCAGGCCTAGTCCACCCAAAGCAGTCCCAAATTAAATTCCAAATCCAACAAGTCAAGCAAATGAAGTGCAAACCCCTATCCGTAACTCTGCCCCGGGCCTAGCTCACTGTGTATAGGGCAGACACCCCACCCCATGTCAGTCTCGCCACTAACTTAACATTTGCCATTCAGTGTAACACTGGGTCACATCCAAAAAGGACAAAATCCAATTCCTTCTACATCCATTAGCATTATTGTTGTTGTTGTTACTGGTGCTGGGGACCAAACCCAGGGTCTCCCACATTCCAGACAAGCTCTGTACCACTGAGCTGTATCTGCAGCCCTGCGTGGACTCCCCCCCCCCCCACACACACACACAAGACAGGGTTTCTCTGTGTAGTTTTGGTGCCTGTCCTGGATCTCACTCTGTAGACTAGGCTGGCCTCAAACTCACAGAGATCCTTCTGGCTCTGCCTCCCGAGTGCTTGGATTAAAGGCATGCGCCACTACCGCCCGGCCCCTTGCATGGACTCTTGACAGCATTAATACATTTGATTCTATTTCTCAGGAGCTTGTTACAGTCAACACTCTCTCTTGGACCATTAGCCTCTCCTTTTTCATAAGACCTTTTCTTTATGGGAAAAAAACAAACCCACGCTCTAGAATTTCCCATCTTAAAATAGAGAGAAGTACATTCACACTTCTCATCTCCATTCAATGACTTTCTCATTATTCTACCTTGTATCTTACCCAAGTTTCTACAACAAGCTGTCTAAGCTGGTCGTGGTGGTTCACACTTTTAATCCTAGCACTCAGGGGCAGGAGAATCTGTGAGTTTAAGGTCAGCCTGGTCTATGTAGTGAGTTCCAGGACAGCCAGGGACATGTAAATGAGACCCTGTCTCAAAAAAATTAAAACAATCAAACAAAAATCAAACAAACCAAAATCCCCAGCTCACCCAAACCCCCCTGCCCCCGCCAAGAAAACACTCCAAAACACAAAAATCAACCTGTCTACACCAGGGTTTGGCAAAATAAAACTAGTGGGCCAAATCCAGCTAGCTATCTCTTCTTGTAAACAAAGAAAAAACAACAACCAGGAAAAATCCAGACACTGGGGTTGGCCAGAGTGAGGAGAGGGATGATACTGGCACCTAGTGGGCACAAACTAGGGATGCTGCCACCCTTCACCACCCAGCTCAGTCACAGAACCCGGGGAAATGCTACCCTTCACCACCCAGCTCAGTCATAGAACCCAAAAGTAGTCCCTACTGCGTCAGAAACCATGCTTGAAAAGACTGATAAACTCAGTGTGTCATGACTGATGGACTGATAAGAGACTCAGTGTGATGACTGATGTCTATCTGTCTGTCTGGGAGGACACATGCGGACCTGGTTAGAGTGGGTGTCTTAGGGAGGGAGGAATGGAGAGGGAGGTTTACTATGATCTCAAGGGACTGCTGTCTGTAAGTCTAGACGGAAAACAAAAAGAACCCATGCTCTGGAATGAAGCCTGAAATAGGAGGTGTCAGTACAAACAGAAACCCAAGCTCCTTCTCGACCCCGAAACTGCTCCTCTGAGAACAGAACTGGAAGGTGATGTGCCTACTTAGTAAACACTGCCCTGTGAAGATCAAGGAAACAAGGCCAGGGAAACCCCCCCTGAGCCCCAGAGTTCCCCCGAGTCACGGGAAACTCTATAGATCCTATTGTACTAAACTTCAGACTAGCAATGACAAGTAAGACCTTTCCCATCGTCCCCTTCCTCAGTCATCCAGTGCTCTTGTCCCCGGGGCTTTAGGAGTCATTCCCTGGTGACAGCCTTGAGACCTTGTGTTTGCGCTGCCTGCCCAGCTATCATGAACAAACAGTCTGGGAAATGTCTTACTGTGATAAGTCAGACGGCAAGTGGTCCACAGTTATCTGGTGACTGTGTAGAGTGACAGCTAAGAAGGGAACGTCTTTTCTAGACTGCTCAATAGGCTACAGGAGGAGTACAGGAGTCTGGGCTCGGCCCCACACCAGCAACAGCCCCGTGACTGGCTGCCTGGGCAGAGAAAGTGCAGTCAAAACACTCACCAATGCAGATGCAGCCAGCTTACCTGCCAGCGGGGACAGGTGGGCGCAGACCGAGGACCAAGACTCCTACCCTGGACATTTCTGAGTCAAATAATGCCACCTTTGGTCCTCGGTCCTTGAACGGCAAGGGCAACTCAAAGGTGAAAGCTGCCTGGAACCTGATTAGTGGCTGACGTTGTCAAATTCCCTACTGTTAGCAACTGTGAGAACCACAGGTGAGCCCTGGGGCAGATGCAAGGGGCGTCATTCCCAGGAACGAAAAAAGGAGAACTACGGGCGTCTTACGTGATGTACTTGTTGTAGAGGATAAAGGCATGCTCAATGTTGCCTTCTTCAGAGTAAATGGATGCCATGCGGATGATCTCAACACCAGAACGGAAGTAGCGGCGGGGTGGAATGTCTTCATTTAATTCAACTGCACTCCCAAGTTGGGACAGAATCCTCACCCGGTCTTGGGGTGGGAGACTCACATCCCCATGGTCAGACATTGGACCAGTAAGTTCTGGGGGAAAAAAAAAACACCAGATAACATCAAAGCCAGGATCATATCTTCCCAGAGGTCTAGCACAGGATGAGTGTATCACAAATCTCTCAAAAAAATTATAGAAAGACCTGGGCATGGTTAAGCACACCTTTAATTCCAGCCTCTGAATTCAAGGCCAGTCTAATCTACATAGCAAGTTCCAGGACAGCCAAGGCTACAGAGAGAGACCCTGTCTCAAAACAAAAACAAAGCATAAAACAAACAAAAATTAGAGAAAAATAAAACACTACACACAGTGATTCTGATCAATAAATTATCCCTCATGCCCCCAAGAATACTCAAATCCTGATTTGAGAACTGACAGTCAAAAAAAAATTGTCCCACAATTTGATGCTACAAGGAATATAGGCATCAATAGGCCACTGTGGGCTGGGTCTGTTGTTCCCTTAATCACTCATCAGGGGAAGGCGTGCCTAGAGCACATTGGAGGTAAGGAAGCACCAGCTATTTTTTCTGTCCTCTATCCAGATTCCTATTTCCATTTCCCCAATACCTGGCAGAGTGGGTTCAGTAAACCTTCGTGAAGACTGCTCAGTTAATTCATGCTGACCATTTCATTTTTCCAGAGCATAAGTGATATTTAACACAATACACTTCCTCAGTTTTGAATACAAGGTCATTGTGTGTGTGTGTGTGTGTGTGTGTGTGTGTGTGTGTGTGTGTGTGTGTGTAGGCTTCTTTCTGGGGCAAATGTTCCTAACTCTGCTCACTAAACCACTATTTGATTCTGTCCATCACATTTACCATTCCGGGCCAGGCAGGTAGCGCTCAGAAGCATCAGTGTATACTTGTCTCCACAAGGCAAGCAAGGCTTGAACAGCAATGGGACAGTTACCTCACGTGGAGTGGGAGACTCTAGGAGTTCTTACTCATTGCAATCCAAACTACATTCTTTCTAGATGTCGCTTCCCTTCGACTCAGGTCCTGGGCTCCACACACCATCATTCCACAGAATTTCGAGTAGAATCCGGGTTGTTGTGCACTGGATCCCAGCACACCCCAGCCAGCCTATTCTAGAATACACTCATCTTCTGCTTGAGCAGTCCCACTTTTCCACCTCCGTACCCTATTCCTCCGTCAGGATTCCCACCTACCCAGGAACTGCAGATTACAGTCTCCTTTGAACTTCAGCCTTTGTTTTTCTGAGTTCTACTCACCCGTCCTGTTTTCTCTAGGCCAATTCTACTTTAGCTTGCTTCAACCTCTGGGTGGCATTTCTTCCATGAGGTTTCCCCACTAAAGCTCCTTATTTCCTAGCAAAAGCTAGGGGCTGCTAGGAACGTGGAGGCATTGCAAATATAACACATCTCCTCCTGTGAGTGTAAAACCCGCCCAAGTCCCTAACTGCTGGACTGGGCAGAGCCCAGCAGAGCTCACTGGAATGGGATGCTGGGGGGGCAGTTAACAGGGGGTGGGGGAGGGGGGGAGGCACTTGTGGGTAGAGAAGGGACCCTCCTCCGGAAGCCATCGAGTGGCTTGGGTCAACATGGGGTTCAGCAACCATGCAGAGGAAAGACAGTGTCCGAAAAGAAGGGGGAGGGACCAGAAGGGGCTCTGGAGGAGGCGAAAGGAAGGAGCAGAGGGGCGTGTGCATCGGAGAGGGATCCAGCTGTAGCAGCCGGCAGCGCCCTCCAGAAGGCACTCAGGCAGGTTTCTCCAAAATGCAAGGAGTGTTGAGACCGGGCCTGGCTGGTCAGGAGCCAGCTCTGGGGACAGGGCTATCCCGGAGCTCGCGCGCGGCGGGCCGGAGTCAGGGGTACGGGTCCCACACTCGTGGGCTTCTCCCCGCGGGGCCCCACCGCACCAGGATCCCCCGTCCCGCAGCATTCCCGGGACCCTTCCCACCTTTCCTGAAGGATGACAGTCGGAGCTTCCGGAAACGTCACCTCCGATGACACGCCCACTCTCGCCACTCCTTCAATTACACTCCAAGGATTTAAGACCTGGTGCGGAGACTGGGTGGGTGGGGCTGGAATCTTCCACCAATGAGAACGAGCTCTGCAGCTGTCCTCACCGTAGAGGAAAATGAACCAGGAAGAAAAGGAAACCAAGTGAAGGAGGGAACGGAACTGCCGACCGAACCAGTATGTTTTAAAACTTGTTTGAAGCAGCAGTTTCCTGCTAATGGCGCCTCCACTGGAACAATAGCAATTTAACATTTCATGAGGGATAGCTGTCTAGCTTGATGTTCACGGCTCAGATGACAGCACCGCTTCAAACAAAGCGACTACCCAGCTAAGCAGCCACCCAGCCACCCTGTCAGTGGGTCCTGCTTTTGTTTTTGTTTTTTTTTTTTCAACTTACATTCATTTTTGTCATGTGTGTGTGTGCGCGCGCGCATGCGTGTGTGTGTGTGTGTGTGTGTGTGTGTGTGTGTGTGTGTGTTCGTTCGCCGCCTGTGCGTGGGAGCATGCTGCAAGGGATGGAGGACAATTTGTGGGACAGTTTCTTTCCTACCATATGGGTTGTGGGGACTGAACTCAGGTCATCAGGCCTGGCGGCAAGTGCATCTACCCACTGACCCATCTCACCAGCCCATGCTGGTTTTATTTTAATTCTCTTCATAGTCCCCTCCACTATGATTCGCCTAAACTATAATTACTTGAAAGAAGGGAGATTTTTCTAACTTATGGCTCTATCCCCAGTGCTCACAACGGCTTGTGGTTCCAAACTCAATACATATTCTTGCATGTGCAGGTGTTATTGAGATTACATGGATGGACTAACCGATTGTGAAAGGACAGGCTGGCCATTGTGTTCTTGGGACCAAATCTTCTCTACAAAACAATCAGAACGAGGAGAAGGCAGTGTGTTGCACGAATCCTAAATGGTCTTATAATCAAAACCCGGAGCCAGATATTGGAATAAATGCTGAAAGATCAGAGGAAACAAACCACAGCCACTTCTCACCTCGCCAACTCCTCAGCCGAAAAGAGAAGATCCTGTCTCCATGAATCCTCAGACCGAATGCCTCTGAGTCCTCTCATCTGAAAGGGCCTAATTCCCATCTCCTGCCTTACATTCCTTTCCCTGCCCAGCCATATCACTTCCTGCCTCAACCTTCCTAGTGCTGGGATTAAAGGTATGTGCCACCACAGCCTGGCTGTTTCTCTTTTAAACTGGATTAATCTCATGTAGTCCAGGGTAGCTTTGACCTCACAGAGATCTAGACCAATCTCTGCCTCCTGAGTGCTAAGATTTAAGATGTGTGCCACCACTGCCTGACCTCTGTAGCGAAGATCTAGTTTTATTAGAGTCCAGCAAAATATCACCACAGCAGTGGGATGGGGCGCCCTTGTTAATTAATAAGTATCTGTGATTCTAAGTCTGCAGGGACGCTTGAGGACAAGTTCCTGCTGTGAGGGCTGCCAGGAACTAGGGTGAGATGCAGGAGGGGGAAATCCACTAGCATGAGCTGTGAGCTCAATGCACCACAGCACTGCACATGCCTGTCTTACACTTTGCTGAGGAGTGAGGGTGTTCGTGAAGAGATATGTGATGCACTCTAAAGACAGACTGGTCACAGTATTGGCCTCTTTGTTGTGAGCTCACTGGGATTGAAAAAGACAGGTGAGCCATGAACACTTAGGGGGAAAGATGCGGTTTTATGGGTTCAAACGCAGGAAAAGGCACCAAGACCTTGAATTTGTGCACTATTATTGTAGGCAAATTATATACTTGACACTTATCTCCAGCTAAAGAACACACCTCAATTAGCTGCCTCAAATTTCCCAGTGCAGAACTCATAGCAGCATTGGGATGGACTTGTGGTTCTGAGCTCCATTTTGTTTGAAGGCAGGCGTTTCCTGTCACCGAGAACAAAGTAGTTAGGGAAATAAGTTCTCATATCATTGGGAAATTCTTCAATGTGTATTTGTGTTTTTAAAATGAATGCTTAAATCAGACATGAATGTGAAAGCCTGTAAAATAGACATGACAGTCCCTCTTCCCTCAGGCTCTTAGGTTAGGGAGATCATTTCAATGTTTCTTTTAAATGTACTTGCATAAGATTCCCTCATTCTAACAGATGACATTTGTATATGTTATATGGATAGAATCTATTCTTGGGGAGAAAGGAAAACCTCTAGATTGAATTAATCTGATCCATGAACTTCTGGCAGCTTTCAGGGAACAAACAATGGGATTAAAGATTTTTTTTTTATGTCTTTAATTTGGGTCAGGAGTAGGGTGAAGTCCATCGGGTGCACCTCTCAGGGGATGATGTGGCCCAAAGTTCTGATCTTTCACTTTCTTCGTAACAGCTGCCTTCCTTGTGATGGGCTAGGTTAGACTGGGCATACATCTATGCATGCTCTTTCTACTTTCATCCCCCTCCCTTTATTGTGGAAAATAGTTGTTGGAAAAAGCCTTTGTTTTGCATTCTTAAACTCAGATTTTACTTCTGGTCACCTTCCAGAAGTAGGGCTCTCCTCAGTATCTAGGTGCTCTGAAAATGGACTCCACCCACTAGAAGCAAGCAGCAGAGAGGCAGAAGCAGCTGACTGCAAGCTTCCCTTCTACTGGGTTGAATCCTGCCCATACTCTGCTGCTTTTTCTTCCTTAGACCATGTAGACAGCCCACTGTGTGGGTCTTTCATGCTTGAAAAGCATCAAAGATGCTTTCCTTCCTTCCTTTTTTGTTTGTTTGACACAGGGTCTCACTGTGCAGCCCAACCTGATCTGGCACTCACCAGGTAGCCTGAGCAGGCATCAAACACACAGGAGATTCTCCTGCATCAGCCTCAGAAGTGCTAGGATCGCAGGTGTGAGCCACCCGCCCAGCTCCATTCTCTCTTCTTTCGTGGCGCAGCCAGTGTGGCAGTTATAACTGGCTTGCTTCCGCCTGCAAACGGCCAGTATAGAATCTTGACCCTCCAGCGTTCTCTATCAACCTTGGGTGCAGGACCACACAAGAAACGGAAGAGTGGGAGGAAGAAGACATTAGTGAATGCCAGGTAAAGTACAAGTCCAGAAAAAGGGGATTTGTGTGGATTTTTTTGTTGTTGTTATTTTACTGTGGGAAATGAGCCAGCACATCTTGCCTCCTTTCATATTTTCAGAACTGGCAATTCAATGTTTTTATATATCAAGAGAGTCCAGAAATGGTCATGAAATCTGCACACTGAAAAGAGAAATTTCAACATGTTTTCTCATGTTATATCTCCCATTGGCATGCATGTAAATGGTAGGTCACTTTTCACGGCTCACAAAGGCATTTACACACAGTTCATATTTAGTGGCCTAAAAAAAAAAACCACAAACATACTGCCTTATTTTAACTGTACTCACTTAATTATACAATTATTATTCAATTAACTATTATTAATTAATTATCATTCAATTAACTGTATCCTTCAATACTTTTTGAGGTGTTAGACATTGAACCCAGGGCCTCATGCACACTAGACTAGTCCTTTACCACTAAGCTACATTCCCAGCTCAACAAAATCTTTTTGTTGTTTGTTTGAGACAGGGTTTCTCTGTGTAACCCTGGCCATCCTGAGACTCGCTCTGTAGACCAGGCTGGCTTCCATCTCAGAGATTTGCCAACCTCTGCCTTCCAAGTGCTGGGGTTAAAGGCGTGCACCACCATGCCTGGCCAAAAAAAAAAAAAAAAAAAAAAAAACTCCTTTACATACAAATATTTTCATCTTGAGTAGTGCTGGGTAAAACACTATAGGAGGAACGTCTGCTTCACAGAAAGCCTGGATTGCGTTTCTGGTTCACCTAACCAGATTCTTTCATGGCCCAAGGCAAATCTATTCATGAAGGATGCTGTATCAGTCAGTTTTCATCACTGTGACAAAATACCAGAGGGGACAATCCAAAGGAGGAGAAGTTTACTGTGTCTCACAGTTGCAGCTGTTTCAGAGCATCATTGTCCTCATCACTGTGGACCGGTGGTGAGGCAGAGCATCATTGTCCTCATCACTGTGGACCAGTGGTG